TCTGTTACCTATGGATCAATGTGAAAGACTCAGAGTTCATTCTCCATCACTGTGTCTGCCTGAATACTGCCATGTCCCACCAGAATGATAATGAACCAAACCTATGAAACTATAAACCACCCGAACTAATGCCCTCCTTTATAAGAGTTTCTGTGGTCATGGTGTTTCTTCACAGCTATTGCAAACCTGAGCAATGGAGGTCAAGACTATGATGGAGAAATCCCCAGAGACAGATGAATCAAGCTCATGGAAACTCATGAAATCTGGATCAAGAGTTGAGGATCCTCCAAGGGAAAGAACTATGCCCTCCATATGTGGAGAGACAATTGTGAAGCTTGATCTTTCTGAGGGGCACCTGCCAGTATGATCAGGATCCATCCCTGGTATATGAGCTAGCTTGTTGAAGCAAATTCTATATGGTGGGATGCTATGGTGGGAGAGGCAGAGGGAGGTGGCCACCGAATGGGTAAGAGGGAAAATTTTCATTGGAATGTACAACTAAATTTAAGTAACATAAATAAATAAATGAACAAATAAATAAAATTCAAAAAGACAGAAATTGTACCAGGGACTGGGTGGAGTATTGTTGTGATAGGCATGGCCATATGCAGACACATACCCTCAGTCCTGTCTCCTGGAGATCACTGCACTACAGATAGCCTATAAGGACACTGACATCACCATAACACATGTGACTATAAAATTGATTATGGCTGTCATCATCACAGAAAGGCAAACTGAGGACTCCACAGAAAGCAAGGTTTTCTCACCCATGATGCCTCTAAGCAATTCTGCGGATAGTCATAGCACCCTCAAAAAAGGGTACAGGTATAAACATTTTACAGGAAGGGACACTGTGGTTCAAATTTAGAGTGAGTCATCCAAAGTTTGACAACCATGATGCCTGCTTTTGGGATAACTGCTGTGTCAGGTGATATACACAGGGGCCAGCCATTCCCTATGTAGGATCTGTGGTCATTACCATGCCACAGATGAGGACACTGAAGCTGAAACAGAGACTGTGCCCACTCCTTGCTGTGTCTTAGCGGTCATGCACTGTGCCCTCAGTTTTATTTACCACAACAAAGCAACTGTCCCCACTTCTATAGCCCTACCACTGCCTCTGGCTCTTTAGTAAGAACCTGACTTGAGGAATTCTAGGCCAATCCTTGTTCCAGGTAGCTCTAGACAGGTAGTTCTTGTTCCAGGGGCCCCAGACTCCAGCGAAATCTGCCCTTTTCCTTCTTCAATGAACAGACCACATTTTCAAGACTGGACTCAGGAAGAATCTCCATTCTGGGCTGCTGCTTAGAGAATAAGCTATGTAGGATGTACTGCATATATGCTATGATAGTCTATGAGGCAGGATACTTTAGAAAAACCTTGATTCTGATTCTCTATGTACCTCAAGCTCTTCTCTAAAGGGAAGAAGTGTCCAGTATCCTATAGCACATAATTAGGGACAAAATGATATAATGGAGATCTGGCACATAGCACATTGCTATTTTGTTCCCCTCTTTACATGTACTCTCTCATCAAGGATATCCTTAGGGCAAATGACATGGCAGATGAAATGTCACTGGAAGGATATAGATTGCATCTTATTGAGCCACTTGCTGGTTGGTGTTGCCTAGGCATTGCATTACTTCAATGTCTTTATTTGTGACATCTATCAAATAAGGATGAAGCCACACTCCCTATCACACTCCAGTGAGTGGTTGTGGGAAGACTTGCTACAACTGCACATGGGTGAGTCAAAGGTAATATCTTTATAAAGTCATTGACCCTGAAACTCAGCAAGGCTTGACCATAGTGCATGTGCCTTATGGTCAGAACTGTGGCTTTTTGAGATCATTCATTCTGGTACCACTTGTTTAGTGACAAATTGAAGCAAATGAAATATTCCTGAGCTGGGGTCTGAATTAGTGCATGTGTAGCTTCTGGAATATAATGCTTTGTTCAAATATGGAGTGTGGGTAGGCCTGACATGTGGGGTAGTTTTCCCATCACTACTGAACATTAGTATCTGAGCATGAGGAACATCTTGAAATCTTGGGTTGATGATGAATAGAAATGCTGTCTGAGTTTGAGAAATTCTGACTAAGCTTTTCTTATGCATCAGACTCCTAAGTGGAGATTCTGTTTCTTGCTGGGATAGCAAGAAGCTGGTCTAGAGTCAGATGTGGGTTTCAGGCCAGATCTCAGCAACAACTGCCTATGTGATCATGGACAGGACACTGGAAAACAGGCCTCACATCTCAACAGGACTGGGCTGGATAGTCTGACTGTCCTTCATGCTGTAAAATTCTCAGAATCAAGGTCTACACAGAAGACTTCAGGTATCTGTCTGGAAATTCAAAGTGAGTGTCCATTTGCCTCAGCTGGGGATTGGAGGTCATCTACATGGACACACTCACCAGAATATATGCCTTCATTGTCCAGAACCTTCAGTGCTTGAGAGAGTTGGTTCCAGACACAAATCATTTTCAAACAGATCTAAGGCAAAGACCTAGCTTGATCCCAGCATTCAAACCAGTTGAGCGGTTTCACAGGGAATGTTGGCACATCATTCTGAATGTTCTCAGTGTGTTGTGGATGAAGAGGGAATAAGAAAAACAAACTATGACCTGGCCCTGTTACTTTCTGCCATAATGTGTTCTTCCTCTTGGAAAGGAGGAGACACCATTTTGGGTAATGAGTTCCTGCTTGCCTGTGTCCTTATATCTCTGTTGACGTCTACTGTGGATCCTGGCTTATACTCGGGCCAGGGTTGGTTGGATAGAAAGAGAAGACTTGGTAGTGCAAATACACTTTGGAAGCATTATGTCAGTTCTAATTCTGTCAATGGACAAGGAAGTTGGCTCTCGGGGACTTTCTTCAGCCACTAGGCTAGGACAGATTGAAAAAGGTAAACACTGCTGGGCAGTCAGACAAGGGAATGGATTTACCCCAATTTACCAGAAGGGGAAACTCTAGCAAATAGCATGTTCTCTCTTCTCAGCTTCCTTGGTCTACTGTTTGGATCATTACCCCATGAGCATGAGGGTCACTTACAGGCTTGCTTTTCCCTTGTTGCTCACAGTATCTTGGACACATTTTGACCTGTTGGAGATATGAGGGATGAGGAGGACAATGCAGTACTCACCAAGCACATACAACACTGTGCCTCCCCCAGACTGAAGCTCCTTGTCAGTTTCTGCTCTGAGGAGTTTCACACAGAAGAATGTGCCAGCGTCACCAGGTGTGACATTACTGATGTGGATGGAAAAGTCCAGGTTGTTTCTCTTTGTGGGATCTGTAACATTTGTGATTCTGGGGAACTTCTCTCCTGTGAAACTATATATTAGGTGCCGACTCTGTCCTGTACCCCTGAACCACTTCACGGGGCCCACAGGGAGCAGAGAGGTCACAGAGCAGTTCAGAGTGACTGGCTCTCCAGCAGCAACAGAAACTGATTTCTCAGGCTGAATCACCTTCAGCTCCCGTACAGTTGCTCCTGTAGGAAACATCAGTTAGTGCTCATGATGATGGAAACCCACAGGCTCCTCTAGTTGTGATCAAATACTGTTTATTACTACAGCATAGCATTCACATGATCACAGTTACCCTGTCTTGGACATTTTAACACAAGGGTTTAACACATATGAGGAGACTGAACACACCCACACTGAGAAATTGTCATGACTCTGATTGAAGTGACTATTATGTTTGAAAATTTTCATTCGTTATCTAGTATCTATTTGTAATCATTTTCTGTGCATATGGCATGAGGCACTTCTTGTATTATATGTGATGACATGACTCTTTTAGACTAGTGAGGTGTAAATTTAAATGGTTTGCATGTTTATTGAGATGTACATTTGATTGCAAGGTTCTCTGGGCCAGGCCATAGTTCATGATGGTTTTTGCTTTAATCAGGTGGATTGATAATACCACAGATAGCTCCCAAACTAAAATAACATGCACCTTATTTAGAAAAATAAAACCTTGTTACAAGTTATTAGTTTTTAAAATATAATAATCTCATTAATTGATTATTTTTATGTGTGTGGTTATTTACATCTGCACATGTAGAGTGTCCAAGGAATCTAGAACAGGGTGTCAGATCCCCTGGAACTGAAGTTATTGCAGATGGTTGTGAGTCACCATGTTGTTGTTAGAACTCAACCCTGTTCCCTTGGAAGATTAACAAGTGGTCTTACTCACTGAGACATTTCTCCAGACCCAGCATTATATTGTAGTGGCATCTTTCCTTACCAGTGAACTTTGTCAATGCCCAAACCCTTTGGGAGTGGTTTCAGATACAGACATGACCCATTATAAGGTAGAGGAGGGTCTGGTTTGGGGTGTGTGTGGAGAGCAACAGAATGGCAGGGACTGAATTTTCTGGAACAGGAAGACAGTGGTGGTTATTTACTTTTATCTGTGTATGTGCTTCCCTAATAAATACCTATTAATCATTTATCTTGGATCTGGTGGACTCATTTAAGGATGATGTAAGATATTACTACAAAGCCAGTGGTTTGACACAACAGAAGCTATTTATTACATGTTTGGGAGGTCAGAAGTTTTAATTTTAATTTGTTTTGACAAGTTAATTAACATAGTGTCAGAGCACTTTGGTGATCTGGCAGGACTGCACTCTACTGCACTGTACTATAATACTGGACCAAGACTATACAACATTCATTTGAGATATGAACAAAATAAATGAATTTTATTTTTCATTTTAGAAATGAAAAGCACCGAAGAAAGTCAAGAGTTTGAAAAGGAACCTATGAACATAAATTTAGAGAAACTGTAAGAAGAAACCAAATGGAATTGGGGTGTAGAGAAGTACATAACTTAGCAGTTAAATGGATAGCATCCTTGGAGAATATAGCAGGTTACAAATAATCTAAAATATTTGAAATGGATACAGTAACATTACTCAGCAATACAGGGTCAGGGAGAATAGAAAAAGAAGAAATTGAATAATATGGAGTATAGGGACAAGATTGTTGGAAAACGTTGTTCAACACCTTCTTGTTTTGATAAAATATAAGAACTATAATTCTAACACACTGAACTAAATCAGTGTGAGATAAACTCAGAGACCCACACCAGTACACACTGGAATCCAACTGACAAAAGCAGAGTAGTCACAGAATGCTGAGAGCACCCCGGAGCATGATTCATTTCATTCAACATCAAAAGGATATGATCAGAAATGTCATAATCCCTGAACTGAAATCCTCAATTTTTTTCTCATGTTCATAGAAGGAAATGAAGAAAAAAAAGCCTTTGGGTAATCCTTAGAAAGGACCATACATAGTGTCAATAATCCTGCTTGCCAAGAGAAGAGGGAAAACAAAGGTCCCTAGAGAAGATCAAGAAGAATTGCTTATATTCTACACATGAAAGCCATAACCCTAGTAGCTCATGATGTGGAAAAGGGTCTTTAAAGATATAAACATCAATTAAGGTCATTCAGATGAATCTTAAAGAAATGGAGAAGAACCACACAGACAGCATGAGGTAGGATAATGCATGAAGACAGATGAGGAAGGTGCAATTTATAACAGGAGAGGCATCATGCAATAACGTAGTTCAATGGACATCATGGGCCCTTGATTCCATCCTCCAGAACTGTAAGGAAATAAATATCTGTGGTTTTGGTCACCAGCCTGTAGTACCCTGTCATGTCAACCCTAGCAACAGAACACAGGGATTGGTAAGACCAAATAAGAGTACAGCCTCTCAAAACATCACCACTCAGTGATATGAATGAGGTCAGATGAGAAGGGAAGTGGAGGACAGAGGACAACATGAGGAACCTAAGAGAGAAGGAATGGTGGCTGAGCATTTCCAGAGACACTTCACCCATAGCCCTGTCGCTGGCCTACATGTCAGCTTCAGTGTGTCAGTAAGTCAGCAGACAGTGATGAGCATGAAGCCAGACCATGAGCTACTTTGAAACTGACTGGATTGCTCTGATGTGACTCAGAATGACAGTGACTTCAGTGTGATTCTACTGCAAGGTATTTTTGTCAATGGGTGAACTCACAGAGCAACATTTATGACTCTGCCTATAGAAAAAAAAAACAATATTTTGAACTTCACTCCTGTGGCAGTTTGGTGTTTGCCTGAAGTCCTTGAATTATATTAGCAGCTGTAGGCAGTGTTAGGGAACTGATTCTGTTCCTGGGACATACTCACCTGTGAGTCCCAGAAGCAGGTTCAGCAGTAGGACAGTGTAAAGACTATGTGGCCAAGGGTCCAGGTCAAGCATGTTGAGAAAAGAAGAACTTTCACAATGTAGTTTCTGTGCTGCTGAGATCCCGGTTCTGATCTGCAGAGAGAAGGAATGCTGTGGGTTTTTCTGCCTAAAGAATTTGTCAGTGTTATGAAGAAACAGGAACCAACTGGTTATTGAGAAATAGAGACACACTGTTGCAGGCAGCTTCATGGGAGAAGCAATTTATCATGAGTTTTAGAGGGATACAGATATGCCTAGGAAAAAATAATCCTTCTTTATAACCTTTACTAGATCCTCTTGGTCTCAAGACATCTTATCTTAGTAAGTCACCAATTGAAACCCGGGGCAAAAGGATGTTTTCTAAACACTTAAGTTTAACACCTCAGATGTTGTTGCTTTGCATCCTGTCCTTTCACAGCCTCATGTAAGAGTTCTCAGTTAAGCCCATATGATGTTTATAAGAACAGCTTAGTGATGGAGTAAATCAGCTGTCTTCTGGGGATGACCCCTTGGAAGTCCTTCACTGCTAGCCTGGTAAATGTATTCTAAGTGAAGTTATAGAGTCTACCATGTAGAATCTGTTAATTGTTAGTAGTAATTATCAACTTGACACAGATGAAACAGGCTGCAAAGGATATCTAATGCAGACTATTTGGATTTAGGATTCCTTTTAGACAGTCTGTCTAAAGAGCTTGTCTTTAGTTAATTGAATTGGGATAACTCCAATTTGGGCAAAATTATTTTGTGAACAGGGTATTTTGGAGTATAAAGTGAGAAAGAAAGCTGAATACTAGCAGGCATACACTCATTCATAGCAACCCACTCTTTTATTGGGCTATAATGTCACTCTGTGCTTCAAATTCTTACCACCTTGAATTAATTTATTGCAATGTTGAACTGTAGTTTGGAGATGTGGGCTAAATAGATCCTTGTTCCCTTAAGTTTCCTATGCCAGGACATTTTATCACAGCACCCTGATTTCTTCTAGAGAGCAAATGGTAACACTTCATAAATATATGCTTAGTGGAGGATGAAAGAGTGTATCCTACTGAGAAGGGAAAACATGAACTGTTACTTGAGTCAGGAAGAACAGGCTGATACAACAATGTCCATAGTCTGTTCCAGATAAAAAGAAGATATTTCAGTTTCCATTCTGTACAGCTAGGAAATAGGGAGAAAGAAAGGATAAGTGCTTTCACTAACCACAGATAAGATGCTAGGAAAAAGAGTAAGATAGCCAAACCTTCAAGACCAGATCTTCTCTCTACTCCAGGTGAAATAGTCTTTGCTGTGGTGTTTCAGTGAATGTATGATTAATATTTGCTGTGAAATTGACACATAAATATAGGAACTAAATTGCCATGCTGGCCCATGATCACATATTTGCAGCATTCTCTCCATTGCTAATTATGGAGGGTGTAGCTGCTTTGAGTAAAGCTATTCTAAGCAGGTGACTGAATAAAAAAGAAACTGAAGCCAAAAATGGTGGTACATGTCTTTAATCCCAGCACTCAGAGACAGGTGGGTGAGTCTCTGAGTTCCAGGCCATCCAGGACTGCAAATGGAGAACCCATCAATAAATAATAATAAAAAATTATGCTTACTTTCATTTTAGTTAAATATTTGTATTTTTATCACTTGTCACCTGACCCTATTGATGTTTGATTTTCAAAAGCAATCACTAAGTCAAGACAAGAGAGTGTCAATGGAAGTAAAACAGCCAGTAAGGACTTTTAAGATGTCACTTTACTCTTTCTGGTTGGAAGGCTATGCAGACCAATAAGGCAGCACAGATGCCTTGGCAAGACTAGCGAGGCTACACTGATATATTTCTTCTTAAATGCAATGGTGTTGTGTTAGAAGAATATGAATGTCAACAGTCTTGTGTAGACATTCTCAAACTTTGAAAACATTTTTGAATCACATTAGGACTAGACATGAATCATTGCTATGCCATGGTATCAGGTATGAAACAAGTAGGGAGGCAGAATATGTTTGCATGATTGACTGTGTACTCTTTGTGATCATTGTATTTATTCTGGGAAGATTATATATTCATATAGCCAGACAGTCATATGGTTGTTAAAGAAGAACATGCCCTTCTGACATCCATATCTCATACTGAGTCAACCAAACACTAATCTTACCTTTTTCTAAGAGAGAAGTTACTGTATATTTTTGTGTGTAGTTAAAATATTGAGTATTCTTTATTCTGTAGCAAAAGGTTACTAATCAAATAATTGGTGTGAACTATTGTGCTACTGTTAAATGAAAATTTAAAACCAAGAGTAGAAACTGAGATGACATTCTACCCAGTAAACGAACTATTATAGGAACTTGGAATCTTATCAAGATGTGAATTAAGTAGGAAAGATGTCTCTGGGACCCCCTAGAAGAGACAAATTTACCCAGGTAAAATTTCAATATAAATATTTGTGTTCCATGAAATAATACAGAATTATCTTCAAAAAAGAAGCTGCATAGTATACTAAGCTATCTTACTCTTTGGCAAATACTCATTACTTTTGATTAACATTGTAGAAAAGTGCTATTTTCTGCCAAAATTTGTGGCTCATCCAAGAGAAACACTTTATGAAAATAATTCTCAATAGACATTGTATATGTGGAAAGTGTCAATATAACATGAGCCAATAAGAAAAAAGTCTAAAAAGTCATTTTATACCATATATTTAAAGGCACACTGAATTTGTCTTACTTTGGTATGTTGAATTATACCTACTTTGTATATTTATGATTAAGTGATACATTCATATCATTTAACACACTATGTATTATGTTCGTTTTATAAATTGATAACTAAGAAGCACTCTGAAGTATGGCACACACAGACTTACGCCTTTGATCTTACCTCATCATCACCACCACTCTTAGTTACTCTAGACCAACCTCTCCATAACCCCAGCCCAGCTCTCAAGACTACATAGATGCTGGTATTTAATATCTTCACTAATGTTTTGAAAAGTTACTTAGAATGCAATATTTTTAAAAGAAAACACTAGGACCCAATGCAAAAATGTTCATGTGGAACATTTGTACTCACTTGACAATTATCCCAATCAGAGAGGCTGAAATTCTTCAAGATTCTCATGAGTTTTCCCTCTGCCACTCTTCATATTCTTTCCCACAAACACAAGTGAGTACTCATCAAGCTTGCACTAAGAAAGATAAAGATGGGTTTTACATGATTTGAGCTTCAAGGTAACATTGCTTAGGGCTAGGTTTATCTTATCAACACCAGTTTCTAGGATATTTGCATTTCTGTAGCCCTGGATGATACTGCCTCAAGAATACTGGGCTTGAACATTGTACTGTGGTCAGAATCTGCTGAAACTTAGTTTTCCTTTAGTATCATTTCCTCATCCCATGCCTCAGCTGTACTTTGAAGAAATTATTGGCACATATTAGTGTCAACACAGTGACTAAAATAATAATATTTTGAATAAGAAAAATGGTAGCTTTATTGTACCCTGACTCAGTCAGACCATATTTATAAAGGATTCATGATTTAAAATGCATTGCATTCCAGAAGAATAAAAACAATAAAACAAACAAATAAAACAACAAAAGAAACAAAAATGTAGGTTTTTATAAAAGGTAACTCCTGAAGACTGGGAGATATTGATGTTCAGGAGACTTACACGAGGCCTAGAACTATGATGCCAACATCTGATGGGATAACTAATGAAGAAGTGAACAATTTTATTTACACTGTGGCTTTGTGTTAGATGAATCCAGTAGAAAGGCATAACTGTTCAAAGATAGAGTGAGAACATTAAGGAAGAAATTATTCTTCCACCTCCATCAGTAAACAAACAAATGTGGGTGAGTTGTTCTGTGAATGCGTTGTAATTCTGATATACCACAAATATGGTTCTTTTTACTTCTACTTTGAACATGAGGCTACAAAAAAAAATCTGTCCATGGCCCATGTTGTGGCAGAGGGCTGTTGTCTGCATTGACCATGCTGAGGATGAACCATACCCTGTTCTGATGCCATAGACCTTGTAGAAATCTGTGGTGTGAAATTTTGTAGAAACTAGGCTGAATTCCATTATCAGTACCACTGTTGAGTGTAAAGGACACTAGTGGAATCTAGTTTTGCATTGGTATTGATGTCTGCAGAGTCATAGTGTATAAACAGGGACATGGAAGGTTTCTATGACAAGCATTATCTCACTATCACCCCTAAGAGAAACAGCCTAGACAGAAAGCCATCAGAGAGAACTCTTAAAAATTGTGGAGAGGGTGATGAAGTATATAGATCTCTGTAAATGGAGCTCTTATTTGGTCTAAGTAATAAAACCCTGGAGTCAGATATAGAGGAAAATGCTGAGGGATCAGAGAGAAGGTTCAAGCTAGGAGAAGAAGGACCTTACCTCCTTAGCATCTCAGCAGACAAGAGAGAAAGTTCCTGTTTCTCCCTCCTTATATACTGTTTCTGTCCTTCTATTTCACTTCCTGTATGTCTCTACAAACATCCAGGTCTCTATGGTTAGCTAGAAGCAAGCTCCAATCTCTGGCCTTCAGACGGCTTTATTTGTACAAACAAGATATCACCACAGATCTCTAGTGTTGATGACTTTCTGTTGGTGGTGTAGGTGAGGAAAGACTCAGTTTCCTTTAAGGGACTGACACTGGGAATTTGACCATGCTCCAGTACTCACAAACATGGGCAATAAAAATTTCAATTTTTTCTTCTTCCTTTCTTGGTGTGGATGAGTTCAAAAGTGTGGGAGACATACCTGGGAGGACTGGGAGGTGAGTATGTTTGTGGTGCATGATGAAATATTTCTGGAGTGCCCACCTGTAAGATCCCCAGAGGATTTTTCTACAGGCAACACACAGCCATCACATTCTCCTAGGAACCATAGGGCAAATAAAACCAAAGAACAAAACACCCATCCCCAAAACCGGGACTTGATATCAATACCTAGAATTATAATCTTCCCAATCCCAGGTGCCTAGATGCCAAGTTAAAAAAAACAATCAACAACAGCCAGGAAAATATGTCT